ACTAAAATTATAAAGCTTTTGAACATTTTCAAAGCTGTTAATATACCTGAGAGTCCTTTCAATGTATGGATCTACTTGGAACTGAAACAATTAATCAACTAGTGTATCAGTAGAAGATTTAACTTGCAACAACTTTAATCAGTGATTGATCGTTTCCTGGTTTCAGTTTCTCAAATGCAAATATATGCTGGTCCTGTAAGTCTTCTACGACATCATGAATATTTGGGGTCTTTGGCAGTGTTGGATGGCCAGAACAAGCACTTTAAATATGCCAAAATTTGAAGATTATGATGTGGATTTTCCAAAGTGTTCTGCCTGTTTTTATAGCTCAAAGAATTACCAGATTAATAAAGTATTTTACTAGTTGCTTGCAGCTGTAGACCTAATAATCAAATATCCAAGGAAAGGCTTGTTGTTTGTATTTTGTTGTGACTTTTTGTAGTTAGGCATACAGCTCTGCCATGAAATGAACAATCCCTGACCCCACGTATCAAACCGGTGACGACAAAGTTGCGTCAAGGTCCCTTCACCATCCAGTGTCCTTCACCTGTAGCTGCACAGAACAGCTCTAAAGCAGATAACAGGCAATGATGACACAAACATATGAGAATGAGAGAGGAAAGTGTTCCCTTATGTGGCTTTTTGTAAACACACAAGTCAGTTACACAGTATCATCCAGACATAAAAAGAGGAACACTGGTCTGGATGTGTTTGCGAGGACTACCCTCTAGTGGGGAATGAGCAATCCTGCCGAAGCAGAATGCATTATGGGCAATGGTAGCAAAGGTAAAGGAGCTCTCAGTCTCACTCGTAATCTAAATGGTTCACACCTCAGACCACATCTGATGGCATAAATGTGTTCATAAGACTACAACAGGCGTATTTTACAACTTATGTCTTTATTGTACTATAGTACAATCTGTCATACAGATTTAATACAGTATGCATCAATCCCTTGCTTGAGTTTATCCAATTTGTACTGCCTATGCCATCCTTAGTCCTTAGCAGTCTTTTTCACACCTTTGTGTTGAATGTAAAAGCACTGTCCCATAAAATAGAACAATCTGCTACAATTCTTTACAATCTAAAATAAATTAAAAAAACAAAAAACAAACTAATATCCCAGGAATAGCACTGTATCGGATAGGTGTTTGCCCTTCATAACTCAAATAAAAAATTTAAAAAGGGCCAGCTAAATGACGGTGGCCAGCCCAAGCAGGTGACATTTAAGGCAAATAAAGACTACCATAAGTGAATACAAGTAGAAAGCCTTTACTTTATATACACATAAGTATACCATACTTATATAGAATTCATGACGTTCCATGTGTGACGTGTTTTTGCTAAATTCAACACCACCCAGAGCTTGTCAGTCTTCATCTGTTGGGCTACATGCAGTACATATGAACCATTACAGAAAAGCACACCGTGTCCCCACAAGCTCTCGAACATCAAACATCAATCTCTCGCCACTTGTCTTGTATTTAACCAATGTGAGGTGAAACAGGTGCACATGACAAGGCTGAGAATGGCAAAAAAAAAAAGGCAGATCTGTACATGGCTCTTGAAAGAAGGAAAATGAAGATGTGTTTTGTCCTTCACTTTTCTGACACAGTCCATAAAAAGGTGGTTGCAGTTGCTTATTGTTTGACGTGTGGTATATTGCATCTCCATTTCTTCTTTTGTAACTTCAGCAAGGAATTCAAAAAAAGGCCTAGTGGATAAGAAGCAGGGAGTCCTCTCACTGATATTGTCTGTAGTCTCCAAAGGAAGGGGAGGGCATGGCAGCAGGGGCGGGTTCCTCTGCATACTGGGGCCCTGAGGAGAGGAAAAAAAAAAAAAGGTACATTTCAGAGTAAGATGACAGCCGCTGGCGTAGAGGTAGATTTATAGCATACGACTGTACGTCAAACTGTCTTCTTTGTCTATGCAATGTCCTTCACGTCCCCCATTATTCATTCAATAACACTACAGTTCAGTATCAGGAGCGTTACTCACCAGTTGGGAACTGTGAAGAGGCAAACCTAGTAAGAAGGATTCCTGCGCCCTCTATCAACGCCAGCAGGATACCTCCCATGGCTGCTGAGCCTACCATGGCTACTGGTCCGTCTACAGAGGAACAGGGATTGTTAATGTACTGCGTGCATACTGTACAATAGTCACATAAAATTAGATTAAACAGGGAGGTACTGTATGTCAGACTCACTGTTCAATTTTCATTGCTCTGTTTTTCAACAAAAAGCTTTAGGAAATATAGAAAATTGTCCATGTTCTTTATGATATTAACATAACTCAAGGCCCTGTACACGCATACAGGTGTGTTCACTTGTTGATTAAACCTGAGTTCAGGTTTAAGTTAGGTAAAGCCATGATGGGAAGTCTCCAAAGTACATGCCATTACCAATAAAAAAGGTACATGTTTTCCCACTGCAGGAATGCAACAAAATGAACAGGGCAGTAAAAATGATGTCAAACAAGCCGAATTCGTACAACCCCACACAGCCCTGAGAAGAGACGATAAACGCACTGATGCCTTCTAGCAAACTCTGTTTTGATAGTGAGGTAGGTTTAATTTTAAACTCTGTTCAGTGTACAACCACGTCACTGTTTGCCTTTTCTATGAGGCATGTATGTGATATCTGTTGACTCTTAGCTGCCAGCTTCTTCTAAGCTTACTCACTTCTTGCAGCAAGGATAGCTCCTGTCATCGCCCCACTTGTGATTGAGTTCCAGGGATCCTCCTTCCCTCGAACTTTTACTAAACCACAGTCGATCATGGAGAAGAGGCCTCCCCAGACTGCAAAGCTTCCTGCAACCCAACAAAGATTCACATAAGTTCAACAAGAATTGGTTAAATTAATAATAATATTTTGCCATCATTGGAAGTACTTGACACAAAATGTATTCAGTATCAAACACAGGCTCAAACTGTGGCTGCATTTGTCCTTTCCTCCTAAATGAAGAATAGTTAAGCTTGGATTTATGTCTACTATGCCACTTATAGTAAATAATTTATGCACCCTGATCCAGATGAGTCTTTTTAACATCAGTATCTGCTAATAGCAAGTCAGATCTAATGCTTATATTTACTTGAACATTGATTAAGCACATTTTTACGAGCTACTTAATCCAAATCCTGGGGTTGCCTGTTCAAACATATTAAGCTTAAATTATTAATATGAATTAAAAATTAACTGACAGAAGTGGCTCCTGAGAGAAGACACTATGTTGGAGTTGCTGGAACAAAACAAACAATCAGCTTGCCAGTGTACCGCTGTGTTGCAGAGCGAAACTTCTTCCCTCCAAACTATTTTTGACAAGTACAAACTGTGGTTTGCAGAGAGCACTTTAACCTGACAACCAAGGTTATTTTTGTCATTTCAACCAGCCAAAATCATATCTTAGCTAATTTTGCCAACCTCCTTGTCTGAAGTCAGAGTCATTAACCGATGAGACCAATTATTTAATACTTAAGAGATATTATATAGATGAATTTATCAAAATTGTAATTGTACACACTGTGAGTGATATAAACAACATGATACCAAGCTGACTACAGCCACTGTTCTTTGCAAAGGAGAAACCCTGACCGTTCCAGCCTACAGAGAGTGAGGATTTGATACTAAAGATAATGCATCACTTTAAGGAAGATAACATTTAAATTCAGCAGGTATTCTTACCTCCGAGCTGTGGGGCTCTGGTCTTAATGGCAGTCATGCTACCTCTCATTCTGTGGCTCATCCCCTAAAAGACAGAACAGCAGCAAACAGATCAATGGAAATTCCTTGTCAACTCAGGATATACTGTATCTTCCTGTTGTTGCAGATTAAGCCAGCTGAGTTCCCTTGTACTGTTACTGAAAAGATAGCATTTTCATTCACCACTTGTTGTTGGTACTGAACATAATATTCTATGTTTTACTATATTTCTCAGTGGTGTGGTGGAAGGGCAGACAATGTGCCAACAGAGGATGATTTACGTGTTGACTGACAATAACAAAACCGGCATGCTCTGACCAGTCTTACACTGCAGGTAATATGATTTGTACAAGGATACTTTGATGTATTTGGCTGAGGCAATACAGTGTTGAGCTATATGACTGAACTCACTGAGGGTGCGTTTCTGAACCCTTTTACTGCCTGGAATATTCCTCCTCCAATGGCTCCCATGGTGAAGGCTCCCCCACAGTCGTCCACGATCCTCCATGGGCTAAAATCACAGAACAGCCATTAGCGAAGGTCATTATTATATACATTTACAGGTGCAGATATCTTAAGCTGTCTTGAGCATGGACTGGAAGCCGAAGGTGATTTTAGAGGAACAAGCACTCTTTATTAGTGTTAACATGGGAATTAAACAAACCCTAAAACTTTACTGTTTACTTTAAGTGTTTAATTTGGAACTTTTTATAAATACAAATATAACTAGATGATCGTATAATTATATTACAACTACACTGAAAACAAACAGATGTCATTTCATCAAGCAAAAAAATATGTGCTCCATTTATCACCCATTACAAAATATGCTAAATGATTACCTACATGTCTGACCTCACTGTTAACTACAAGGACATCTTCACTTTAACAGAAGTCTAAATGTGTCTAAATGACCTTCAACGCGTCTTGCGTCACCCACACACAGTAAACATCACAACAATTAAAAAACAAAGTAAATATCGAATGGCTTTATTTTATTTCAAATGCTACTTTTAACAGCACAACTGCTAGCTGGATAAAAACAGTGCATGGATCCATTTGTAGACCACTAGAAGTCCATTGTATAGCCTGGTTATTACCATAAACTGTACCATTTAAAAAGGTTATTACACTATTTATCACTGGGATCTGACGATAGCCACTAGCACTATACCCTGCAAAGGACTTAAACATAATACTACTGCTAAATAGTGGCCAAATGACCATTATATAACTCCACATGGACACTATTTGTTTCAGTTTCTCGGTTCTCGGTTCTCCAGCTGTTGTGTAATCCTCAGGCTGCCCAACATATAAAGTTAGCACACAGGTGGCTAACTCAGCTAGCTCACCAAAAGCTAAAGAAAACCACCTTAACTGAGCTAATTTCACCCGAACAGCTAAAAATATCTCTTGACATTCACCGTAGGTCACATATCAGCTTGTACAAACTCACTGACTGCACTCGGTTAACTAGATATGATGACATGTGGGTGCGTTATCCGACAAGGTCACTAACAACGTGAGTTAGCCACGGCGGGTCCAATGCTAGTTCAAACTGCCATTACAGTTCTGTGTACAGTTAGCATTCGTGCTAACGTTAGGTAAGTAGCCGGGTTTTGAGATGTTTCGGGTTGTGCCACAGGTTGTACCGTTAAACCAACTACACACACTGAACGTGGTAGTTACCTCAAGTGCAGTCTTACGGGTGACTTAGTAAAACGCAGCGTATAAACATATTTTATTCGGTTTTAAGACTCACCATGGTTCTCTGGCATATTCCTCCATTTTGTTCTTTCGCTGTTCCCTCTGACGTGATGCTTATCGACAGGCTGACGTAACCACGCAACGTCATTGCGTGTGTTTTTAAAGCGTCACTCGGGTTGGCTTGGTGGGAGAAAATGTTTGAACAGGTTATTATACTGTATTTATTCACCTTTTTAAATTTGCTTTTAATGTTTAGCTTAGTCTGATGTGTTTTTAGTGTTTCACTATTTACTGCTTTTATGTTTTTATTATTATTATTATTATTATTATTATTATTATCTGGTAGGAAAATTAACTTGTTATTAGGGTAAATGGATCAACCCAAATGTTGCTCAACATCATAGCGTTTTGTTTTGTCATCCTGTATGTAACATATGTGGGACTTCAAGAAGTGCTTTTTTCCATTCTGTATTCCTATTTCAACTTAACCCAGAACTGCTGAATAATAGTAACAACCACATATGTTTATGTTTAGTCTTATTATATCAACCACTTTTTTTTGGCATGGTGGATGGATCTAAATACTACACTACCCATGAGCCTCTACGAGCATGGCGTGGAAAAGAGGTCAGTCAGAGGCACAATCAAATCTCAGTGTCAATAAAGGATCAATAAAGGAACATCTTATCTTACCTTATCTTAATTTAAAACGATTTGTCATTACAGTTGCAAAACGTGGCCCCACAGATGCCTGAACCAGAATTATAAGTGAATTGATTTAAGGCCCAAGATAGTGTTTTTAGTTTTCTCAGCACCGTCATCTTTAGTTTCCACCTGCTGTTAGCTGTGCACGTACATAAATTCAATGCTCTGTGATTGGATGTTTCTTGTCGTAATTGACGTCTAACTAAAAGTGTATGTGTGCACAAGCTTGTACTGTACCTTTGACTTTTTATCTAAGAACCAGATGTTTTCTAATTGTATTAATCTCACTTTGCATCTCTATTGGTGTGTGGAAGTGTAATTAATTATAAATTTGTTTGGGATTAGCACAATATCAACGGCAGTTATCTGATCGTGGTTCTTGTGTAAAAATCTAGTTTTAAGACCTTTATTATATTAGCTGACATAGTGCTTACAAGTTACATATTCCAAGATAAATTAGTTTTGAATCAGGTTGCCACACAGCAAATATGGATTCATGTTGTATTTCAGGAAAGGGGGCATCAACAGGGGCCCACCAGCTCATTTTTTCCCTTGGGCCCAGCCATCCTACAGAGAGGAGGGAACCTAAATGTAAAATTAATTTGAAGACTAAACTAAACTGTGTACCCGATGTAAACACAAAACAAGAAACAAGGATACATCAGAATGTCCACTGAATTATTCTCTCCATACCAATGATTTAACCTTAGATCCCCTTTGTTGGCGCAGAACAATCCGTAATCTCAACATTTTCATTCTTTCTCCTCTTTTTCTTCCATCTGAGATCAGCGCTGTTGGTCAGGGGAGCAGCTACAGCCAAGAGACAGCCCGCTGGCCTGCAGCCCGTTATTAGGAACAAGAAAGGAATGAATCGCAAAGCAAGCTTTCATTGAGAAATGCCCAAATATAGGCATTTCATGGATGCAGAGGCTGAGGCAGAGAGATGCAGACATAAACTGGCCTGCTGCTGGTGGTGCTGTTTTCTCCTCTGAACACTCAGGATGATGGTGGGTAGACGCCACTAGACAACAGCTCCCACTGTTCCCCTGCAGCTAATGTAAAGAGTAACAGAAGTCTAAATGTTCTTGAAATCTTGTTGCAGTGGTTGAAATTCTCCAAATTAATTCAAATAACTCAGTTCACACGCAGTACTACAGGAGTGTGAATCCTTTAAATGTAGTTAGATATATAATTTACACTGCAGGTTGGTTGTTGGTTGGGACACATATCTATATATGGCTCTGTAGATATTGTGCATGTCCTCAGTAACAGCTAGTGGAAGAGGAATGTACACAGTGGAAATACCTAAATATATTATAGACAGCGTATGATTTCACGTAGATCATAAACCAGCTGAAATCAATGACAGCTCAACAGATATTAAGACATACATACCTTGATTTATCATGAAATATATTGCAAAAGTCAGTTATATTTCATTTTACATAACGATATCAGCCAGGCATAACATTACACTTGTGACTTGTCAATGCAAACATACCAGAATCTTTTATTGAAGACATACAGGCTCTGTAAGAAAGGCATGTGTAATCAGATATGACAGAGAGTCCTTCGTTACACAGTACAGATATGAGTGCCACTCAGATTTTTGTTTATCACATTAAATTCCTCTGGAAAATGACATTCACTTAAAAGTATGGCCTAAATCAACAGGAAGGTTGACATAAGCCAGAAATGGTTTTCCAAATCCCCGCTAAGGTTAAGACATGTCGATGTTATTACGTTACAAGTTATGTAAGGTATTCAAACACCCAGGCTACAATGATTCTGTACAAAATATAACATCGGATACTGATGGGCAGCCATTTGCACTTCCTGATAAAAATGCATTATGTAATTATTTCCATGCTAAAACTCTTCCGTCATGCACCAGGATCCCACTGGGCTGCTTTCCAATCCATTAAATCCTGCCTGAGATGTCTTGAGATTTGGCAATGAGACACACAATTAAAGACCACCTTGACCCTTTTTTTTTCTTTTCTTACCCAGATTTTCTTAAGTCAGGCCGCCATGTTTGTTAATTCCCTGATATTTCCGCCATTTCAGAATTCCCAGTTTGAACAGATTTACAACTTAGCAACAAGTATACGATGGATTCCCACAAACTCCACAAATAAATAAATGGTCAAACTAATGTCCACTATATCACTGATAAACTTTTGTATATTAGAATTTTATAGAGTTATTTGAATCTCTTATTATGCTCTTCGCACACTTCGACCACGCTCACATTCAGATGCATACACAAGCCAACATGTTTATATGATCAGCTTCATATTATCTAGTGCAAATAACCAGCGAAGCGTCAATATGAACTGAAGACAAAACAACCACAAAACTCATGGCGCTCTCTGCAGTCGGTAAATCGAGAATCCCACATCACTCATTCTCCACAGAGTCCTTTTGGTCCAGTGTTTGAGAGGAGAACTCATAGTGAGGGCTAGTCATCCAACCGGTGCGCCATTTCGTGTTTCTCCATCCGTCCCACAGCACAGTCCTTCGACTGCATCCCAGGGAATATAGAGTTTATCTCCTTGAAAACCTGTGGTGAGATGTCTTTTCTCTCCCCTCTCTTCTTTTTCATTTCATATCCCCACAGGAAATATTACTGCAACCACTTTGGCACCGGCACCTGTGGGGGAAAAATATTAAATGTGAGTATGTGAGAATATATTGTGGCTGAGCTAAGCTATCCATAAACCCATCTTACGTACCTTCTTGAGTTGTTTAAGATCGCTTCCTCTGATCGAGGCGAGCAGTTGGTCCCTTGAGTTCTTACTACCGCCCGGGCTTTTTCCATCCAGTTTCCTCTGCGACACCGGAGTCAGAGAGTTCCTCAGGGAGTCTACATCCAGCATAGGAGGCGGAGGAGGAGGAGGTCCACCCCCTGGCGGAGGTGGAGGTGGCGGTGGAGCCGGACCTCCACCGGCTCCTCTTTTAGGAGTCAGCTTTGGTGATGGCATGGGTGAAGGTATGGGAGAAGGTTTGGGGGAAGCTTTGGGCGAGCTTCTCAGAGATCCTCCACCACCCGTCTTGGGCACCTCCAGCGTTCCCTTCTTCTCCCCGTTGGCCTGGGCTTGCTTCTGCTCCTGCAGGCGCTTCTGCCTCTGTCGGTCCATGTTGCGACTCAGAATGTTTGTTGTGGTCATTCTGGGTCCAGCTAACTCAAAGTGGTAGCCCAGTTTGAGAAGGGTGGTGTTTTCTTTCAGGATCTTGGTCATCTCCATCTCGGTCTTCCCGCCACAGATGTGTCGCTGGTTCTGAAAGCGAAGCTCGGTCAGCGTGGAGTTGTGCGGCAGAGCCTGGATCAGAGACAGGATGCCCTTGCCAGTGAGGTGGTTGGAGTCCATGTTGATGCTGGTGATAGTCTTGTTGCTGCGTAGCGTGCCCGCAATGGCGTAAGCCACGTGGTCGTCTGCACGGCAGTTGGCCAAAGCAAACTTCTTTACATTGGTGTTGTTGCGCAAAGCCTCCGCAAACTCAATGAGCGTTTTCGTCTTGATGACTTCTGAGTTGTTGACGTTGAGTTCAGCGAGGGAGGGGTCGTTGCTTCGAACCTGCTCCATCAGTTCATCAAACATGCTTGAGTCTTCATCCTCCTCCTCTTCCTCTTTCCCCTTGCTGTTTGGGGTGGTTTTGGCCACGCAGTTACCAAGTTTCTCAGTTTCTTCAGCTTTTTTAGCTTTTCCTTTAACATCTTCTTTTTCTTTTGTCTCCCCTACTTTCTTCTCCGTGCTAGTCTTCTTCTCCTTCTCTTTCACGTGGTCGCTGTGGTTAACCAGCTCTTCTCTGTCTGTTCTGTTTTCCGCCTTGTCATGTTTCACCTGCACCTCGCCCCTCTCAGATGGTTGTCGCTCGAGTTTGACATCAGGCTTGTTTCTATCTTCAGCTTTTTTCTCCCCTGCTTTAGGCTTCTTCTCTTCTGGTTTACTCTCCGGAGCCTGGCTCTCCTGTGCCTTGCTCTGCTTCTCCAACATTTTAGAGACGAGTCCTTGCGTCCTGAAACTCTCAGATTTTCTCTCCTTTTCCTTGCCGACATCCTTTTCGTGTTTTTCTCGCAGCTTTGAGATAATGTCTTTGGTTTTGCTTTCATCTTTTCTCCTTAAGTCTTCTTTCCTCTCCTCTCTGCTGTCATCCTTTTTTTCCTGTAACTTAGAGATCATATCCTTTGTTTTGCTGCCCGTGCTCTCTCTGGTTTCTCTTTTGTCTCTTAGCTTATTGTCCTCCAGCCTCTCTCTCTCTTTGGTCTCATCTTTCACGTCACTCTCTCTGCTTTCCTGCTTCCTGTATCTACTCGAAAGCCGACTTCGCTCCTCTTTTGAACTATCAGGACCTTTGCTGTTTCTGTTGTCCACCTTAATGTCTCCTTCACTTGAGACACTAGCTTGTCTTCGTAGCCCTACTTTCATGTCGTCGTTCCCCTCCTGGCTCAGGCCCCTCTTCCTCAGATATTCCTGCTTCCGGCTCTCCTTCTTTTGCTCACCCTGCAGGAGGACAATTATGAGGAGTATGATGTGGACAATGATATTAGCGTTATGTAACAAAGTAAAGCAGTTTAATATATGCCAATACCAAAAACAAACATTTACAGGGTTTAATCAAACTTCCTCGTGCAGGAGCGCGTCAAAGGGTGTAGGGCTTTGTGCCAAATTAAATCACAATATATACTCAAAATGTAAATAATTTATTGACTATACAGTACAGATGTACAGTACATAATGCATGGCATGTACAGTATCATATAACACCTAACTGTGCAAATACTGTGTTCCTTTACTGTCAAACAGCTCCTCGTCCATCTGCTCACTGTGAACACACACACTCTTCCTGACACAATATGGCATTTGTGTTTACAGTCAGCAAAAGGACAAGGATCCATTTTTCATAGAGCAGGAATACATTTGCAGCGAGTAGCTTGCAAAGTGTTTGATTTGTGAGTCTCCATCTGTTTTGCTTTGTGAGGCCGTGGCCCTGGCAGATGTATCCTTAAAAGGCAGTGAGTGTAGGAGCAATCAACCAAGGAATTCCATCAGGCCCCGGGATTAAGAAGCTCTGCAGGGCCGCCGCTCCATCGACTGAAGTGCCTCTGCTTTAAACACACAAACTGCAAGAAATCTGGCTCCCCGACACTCATCCGGGGAGGGCTCGAAAAATGTTTTAGAGCATGTCACAGAAATAAAATAAATTGTTTGGTGTGTTTCTGAGACTACTTCTCCGCTTGTGAGAAGATGATTGAGAATGTGAAGTGGATGTAAGCAAGTCTCTGAAGGGAAAACAATGTTTTTCCTGGCACAGAAGCCAACTCTACACTATTTATGAGCTGATGGACTCAGGGTGCATGGGGTCCAGTTGGTGGTTTGCTTCGAGCACTATCATTAGAAGACCTCTGGGGCAGTGGATGTTACATAATGTTGTAATCTATCAGTCATAAGTACAAACAGTTGTTTAATTTAATAAACTCTTATAAAGGTCACCCATCTGCAGTTCATTTTTTATTAAAAACTGCTGTAAGGAGCTCAAATACAAACATTTTAAGAGACTAAAGGATCTTAAAGAATATGTAGATCATAACACTCAAATCCAGCGTGTTACTATACCAAATAAGGAATCAAGTCAAGCATTCACAAACCTCAAACGACTGTTCCCTCTGACTGAGCCTCCCTTTAGGATCACCCTCCCGTTTGCTGTCCTGTTTAGCGTCTCGGACGTTGTTACTCGTAGGTGGCTGCCCAGGTTGGCTCTCCCCATGGTCGATGATCTTCCCATCCTCTGGCTTGAGGTCTGGCACTTTCATCATGTCCTTCTCCAGCTCCTCGACCTCCTCAGGGGAGAGGGTGGACAGCAGGTTGTCCAGGTCAGGGTCCTCGCTGACCTGACGTCCCGTACGGGTCAGGCCTCTCACCTTTCTCCTGGACATGGTTGCCTAAAAAGCTACGCCCGTGGAGACGATCAGAGAAATCTGGTTTCTTTAGCGGAGCTGATGATGTTAGTACAGTAAATCCCTGTATTCAAAATCTTATTATTGTGTGATTTCTCTCCTATGGTGAGCAGCTGAGTATTCCCATCGGCCAAAGATGTTGTCCTGCTGTCCCGTCACGTCCCGCTCACCCAAAAGCCACCAGAGGCATCAATCCTGGTGCAAAGAGGCTGGACTCGCAGTCCTGCAGTGAGGGGTACCAGTGATGAACTGCAAGAGCCTCGCATCATCAAAGTGGACTGTGAGGCTGGGACATTCTTCGAAATCCTGTGAAAGTGCATGTCCATATTTAGTTCAGGGTATACACTCCTTTAAAGGTAATGGGAAGGGCTGAAGTTTACAGAGATGTCAGAGCAGAGTTACACAGACTTCCTATTACACAATTCATGTTTATACTGAGACCAGTTCATGAATTTCTTGTTTAGTAAAGACTCTAATTTTAACGGTTGAGTATTTGTATTTGTATGAGTATTTATTTTTAGGAGCTTTTCTTATTTCTTAGTAAGTTAAAAAAATTGTTTTGTTATTACAGGAGCTCCATATAACACCAGCAGACCTGTGATTTAGGGGGAAACAGATGAAGTATGTGTTAGATTCACATGGTCAATAAATAAGTGCAGTGAAATGTAGGGTGACGTAGTCTTGAGGCTCTAGCCTCCTGCTGCAATACAATTCAGAAACTTGGTAGATTTTAAAACATGTATGTATTAAGTTAAGAACTAACTTACTACTTTACTTTAACCTACTTTAAAGTATTCAAAAGTTATTTGAAATGAAAGTCAATATAACGTGAGAAGAATATTTTCTACAGTTGTAGTGAGGAACTGAAAAACTGCAGCACAAGAAAAACAAATGTTTTAAAATAATTGAATGGACAAAGATTTAAATGCGTGATCAGAATAACATGTTGACATTATTGTACAAAGGATAGTTTAATTATTTTATGAGACTACTTTTGATGTCAAATGTTTTATGGAAATCGTTATTTATTATAGAGTCTATAATAAAAAGCTACTGTAGAAAGAAATCTGTTACATTATTTTCTATGGTTTTGTTTTCTTTTATCCCTATTGTTTATATTGATTTTGAAATTATTTACAGACCACAATAGAATTTCAACAAAGTAATACATAAAAAATAAAAAAACAAAAATGAGAATTAGAAAAAGAAACATAATGGATACAAATTAAAAGTCTAAAAAGTATTGAAATGCTAAACGTATATTGTCCTGATATGCAGGTGGGCTGTATACGAATATAAAATGTGTCACAGTTGTAAAGTAAACTATAATATAACTAATAATAATAACTAATTTAAGTGCAGATATGCAACTAAAAAATAACCTTTCATAACAACAATCAGTGTTTTCAGGGACAAACATTACCTTTGTATTAGTTGCTTGTGGTGACAGTGGACAGATTTAATATTGTTTGGAGGTTAATAAGGACATCTAGTGGTCAAAATGATGCAAACCCTTACCGACTAGATTTCCTGGAGACAAAAAGACACAGCAGACATTTGTATTTTACATTCCAAAGTTAAATTTTATGTTAATAGAAATAAAAACTTTCCACTAACTGTATATTACAATGTCGTACCATCCATATGACGACAGACAAAAAAGCCACCGAGACAAGTTATTTGGCCGTAACTGATGTCACTTTCATTAAACACACTCATGGAGTTGGTTTTAGAAGCAGGAATAAACAGAAACATCATTGAGCAAATGTTATGTCAAACTACATATGAAAGCAGCTTACAAAGAAAAGTCCAGTGTTCTCTTTGTGCTTTTCAAAAGTCTCAGCTAATCTGTACACGTGGACGTCGCCGTCGTAGGAAACCTTTCATGCTGTAAACGAGCAGTAATAGGTCTTGTTTGATTCATTGCGTGGTTTTAACACTGAGGCGAGATACAGCAGTGAGTCTTAAGGAAACGTTTGGCCAGGCTTCTCTTTTTAATGTGTGTTTCATTTGATTTTAAGTTTTCAGAGAAATTCCACCTGAATAAAGATAATCTGGCCATCAGCTATTAATCGTCAAACAGCAAACTGTACAACACATGCTTGAGACATCGTGTTCTACAGTTCATAGATTTTTACAAGGAGCACATTGCAGATTCATTTCATGTTAACGGGCCCTGACCTCGCTGGAGCCCAAATCTGAGGCTGGACATTTAAAGGAATAGTTGGACATTTTAGCGTAGACTATCTGCTTTAATGCCAAATGAGGAGATCGGCTGGCCTGGCTCGGTCCAAAGGGGACAAAATCCACCTACCAGCGCCTCAAAAGCCCATTAATTATCATGTGGATGTATACAGATGTAAAGACGTCAGTCTCTGCTGGTTGCTGGGCAACCGCTCCCAGCAAATAAATGGCCTCTTCTGCCATATAACATCCCATAAAACAGCAAATTGTTTGACATTTAGGTTTCTATAGGGATTCAACAAACAATAATTGCTTTACTTTACTTATAGAGCTTTTTGTTGCCTTTTGTTGGAGCCAGGCAAACTGTTTCCCCATTATCTTAGTCGGTTGCTAAGCTACGCTAAACGGCTGCTGCCTCCAGCGAACAGCGAACAGCTTAGCTGGCTACGTAGTTAGTTACCTTACAGACAAGAGACTGGTTGTGACATTCTCATCTTAACTACAGGCAACACAGCAAATCAGCATATCACCTAAAATGTTGAACTATGAGAGCAACAGTAGTGATTTTTGGCTTTGCAGCTTGTCCAAAAAGTGAGAACCCATTCACAGTAAAAGGTAACTGCAATAATAATAATAATAATAAATACCTAATGGAAAGATGCCAAAATGCTCAAACATCATATCGTATGTTACAATAACAATACAGTAGGTTTAAAATAACTTGTTACAATATCATAAAATATTTAGCTGAAGAACAGATTTACAAAATATGTATTTAAATAGTTAATCTCTTTTTCTTCTTCTTCTTCTTATGGTTAATTACTGTAAGGCGGGACATTTTGTTTTAATTAAGCAGCATGACCTGCAACTCCCCTGACCTGATATGTTACGAGAAAAAACAAAAATAAACAGTTAACATGAATTTTCACTGTAAAACGTCCTACCTGGCATTATGGGATTAATCTAAAGACTCATTTTCTAATTCATTTAAAACCAGAAAAGAAGCATTAGAGGACAGATGACTTTGACTTGGGGTAGCATGCTGATGTTGAGATGTTACATCACAATGGTGCAGCCAATACACTACCATGAAGTAAATTAGTCGAGTCATACAAAAAAGAAAAGAAGAGACAAACTAACAGGTGACTAAAGGCTTCTTACACAGAATTAGGAGTACCTTAAAATCCATTCGGCCATCTGAGAACATTTAGGAGAGTACTGCACTGCCTTCGAGCCATACGTCACCTTTTTAATCAAACATGCGATTTGTTTGTTTTTTTACTTTAGCCGATACTACATTACAAAACAAAAACAAAAAAAAAACCCAAACCATCAAATACAGAGATCAAGACATCATGATCACATTTGGAGAAAGACCAAGATGACGTGGAATGTAGACTTAGGCAGTTATCAATTCATTCAAATTTACCAAAAGTGAAGAAGTAAAAGCATTACCCCCCCTTAAATACGAAGAAGAGGGAGAGCATTATCATTTATGTAAATCCCTCCTGACCCCCTCGTCTGTTAGGTAAAGAGCCCTGTCGTTAAGTGACACCCTGTCGTTGAGGTGAGTGTGTCGGAGCAGGAGGGGGCAGTGCAGAGTTGAGACGCCGGCCGTATGACCTCCTCACTTTTGGGGGATAGTGTGACGCCCTCTGTGAAAACCCGCCGGGAGCAATCAGGCGTCATGTTGCAGAACACAATTTCACTTACGTAAATACTTCAGAAAAGTAGGACAATGTTGTAAATAAACAAACAAACAAAAAAAAAAACCTTAAAGTGCCTCCTGTTCTCTTTAAAAACAGGCGAACCACTGCTAGTCAAGCTGTAGTGTTTGAGTGTATGTGTGTCTGTTTGAGTGTGTGAGAGAGCGCTGCTGCCTTCTCCTTTTGAAACAGTCCTTTTTCTCTCAGTTGCGGTTGTTTCCCACTGTCTGTCTGTCTGTCTGTGTGTGTGTGTAGACGAGCCCCATCAATGACCAGGATACTGAGGTGGAGAGTAAGGTGGAGGGGCTGAAAAACAAGGAGGTGGAAACATAAAAGAAAGTCAGATCTTTATATACTAATACGATTACATTAAGAATCAATTACAATCACCAAATTCAGTAGGATTCATTTTCAAATTCACCAAAGTGACTGACACTGACATCCCTACAGCCTCTAAAAATTTAAAATGTGTCCTTAAGACGGCACTAAAGGAGAGACCATGCATGGAGTCATTGGAATTAAAAAAGGTTTATGCCCTTTGAAGCAGGAAATGTGAAAATTGCACCACATTTTATGGCAATTGTGTCCTCTAAATATAGATATCATGCATCAAAGTTCACCTTTTCAACTGGCGCTGGTGCCAAAGGACAGTATGAGGGAGCATGAATAGGATCCGTAAATCTTGTAGCAAATTGCCAATTAGTTTCTTATGTTTGGTGTGAAGACTGTGGCCTGAAGTTAGTGCTACTCGAGAGGTCAGGGGGTCACCCACATAAACACCTTGTTATGTTAAAATATCTTGTTCAAATGACCTGAAACCAGCAACACCATCTTTATTCAGCTTGCAGACGTTTAGATAGATGCACATTAGACTATGGACCTCCAATGTCTTCAGGAATCCCCTCTTAGCAATGTTTTTATTTTTAAGTTAGAAGATAATTAATATAATAATAATAATAATAATTAATACTATTAATTACAATCAATAACAAGAGCGAACCCTGTTTCATCCCTTGTAGTTCCAACTTTTCAAAAAGAGGGGCCCCTATAACGTACTCAAGGACCCCTGTTGGTCGCCACACCTCAGTTTGAAAACCACTATATTAGCACTTTATTAGTTTGCGTTCATTTAACGTTTTAAAAATATATTTTAGACTGATTTTTGGTGTCAGAGCGAAGGAGCAATACATGTGGAGACCTAATGCCTCTCTTACCCTGGCTGTACGCAGGATCCATCAGGTGTGGTGGATAAGGTCCAGGCTGCATCATCGGGTACTGTGGAGGCATGCCAGGGTACTGGGGCGCCATTGGATAACCCGCATGCGGATACTCAGAGGGCCCCAGAGGTTTTCCATAAGCGTCGTACATGGGCTCCACCGGGTAGCTGGACATGGGGATCTGCTGGGCTGCGGGTGGAACAAGTACAGACTGATGTAAAGGAAAACTAGATATGGTATGGACGTACAGAGCGGAGGATCTCACCATCGTACGGTGTCCTTCCCCTCTGCTGCCTTCTCTGGTAGAGGTAACAGCAGGAGCACATGAAGCAGCAGACCATGGTCGCGATGATGGCCACAAACAGGAGGATGGAGGAGGCGATGCCGGCCAAAGTGGTGGGGCTGAGGAGAGAGGAAGAGGAGTGCTTCAGTTACAAAGGATTTCCTTTCTTACTTTGATCCTCCAGCCTCACGTTGTCTCCCGCCCCTCTACATCTCGCTCATTACGGCTCACTGCGGGGAGGATTAAAGCGGAGATGGCTGTGATGTGAAGCTTTTTAAAAACACACACGGACTGACCCTGAATTCACACCCGAGGTTAATGACGTACGACCCTGCGTCTCTCCGCCAGATTCCCCCGTCTCATAGTCTCAGTGGAGCAACGAAGCCCTCCATTACAGCTCAGCCTCCGCCACCCACTGATCTGATCTCCCATCGGGCTTAATAAGCTGCAGGTTGTCTGCTCGCTACGGGATAGTGATGGATGGTTTCCAGCTCTGTGGAGGAAAACTGCCATGTTGCAGGTACAAGCTTGCTTATTCCAGCATTATCACGATCCCTCACGGGGGGACAGGGGCATTAAACACCACTGATAGCTGATGTAATAGAACGACTAATGAGAACGTATTACACTGCGGGGACCGAAGTAGGGTCATTAAGTCAAACGGAGCCAACTGGACATAAGAACAGGCCCGTTTTAGCAGAAGTTGCTGACAGAATGAAGATCGGTACAAAATAAGGTGCTTCAACTCATCACCAGCTTCCTTCACTTCAAGTGTTATTTTTGTATGTTTGTAAGAAGATCTCCAGCCTGGTTGATTTGGCGACACCTGTGGTTACTGGTGGTAAGAGCAGCAACTCTCCTCCAACTTTGTCAGAAATTGCTACAATTTTTTTTTTTTTTTTAATTCATTAATTTATTTTAATTAATTAATTTATTTTTTGTATTATTTTTTTAATTATTATATATGTGTGTGTTTGTCTGTTGCTTCAATTGTTAAGGAAATTGACAATAAAAATATTTTTGAAAACAAAAAAAAACCCCAAAAAAAACCACTGCTCTCGCTTGTGTTAGTTTTTTTTTTTTTTTTTTTTGGTTGGATGAGGATGAGATGGATCTCTCCGACGGGCACATGTCTGTCATTGCGGCGATGACTTTGGCGCTGCTGCACCATCGTCCTCTGCACTTCTCACGGGTTAAGATGTACGGGCGTTCTCCCAGTCCAGGCCGCGCGCCGCTGTAAGCTAAAAACGGGGTTTGGTTAAAAAGAAACAACGGTTAGGGTTACGGTCTAAACGGGCTGTGCTTGTGGTGTTCCAACCGTTTTACAGCCTGACCAACGGCAGTCGTCCGCAAACCGGCCGTGGTCATTGGGGTTTTATTTCCAGGCCTGTTGGATAAAGAACTGTTACTGGACACAGGTTTAAGGTGGTCCGACCGGGTTTTTTTTTGTTTTTTTTTTAGGCCCCTCGTTTTGTACAGTATCTGCATGTGAACTAGCTGGCAACCGGTTTCTGTCGTGTGTGTGTCTGTTAGAATGGTTTGTGTTTGGACGTTAGGTTTTTGTTGTAATTAGGATAAAATAAGGTTGGTTAGCTGCTTCAAGCGGGTGGGTGCCCAACCTGCAGGGGGTCGGGACCGTCCATCTAGGGGTCCGCCAAAGCTTGCACGGCCGGTGTAGGGTGAAGGCCTTCTTGATTTGAAAGGTGGTAAGATAAATTTGTAAAAATGGTTACACTATGTACGGCCTTTATCTCAGCTTTTCACACTGAGATTCTGTCCAAAAGGAAGCCTATTTAAAGTATGTCTTGATTGTTAAAAAAATAAAGGAAGTAAAGGCGACCCGTGGTGGCCTGTAGATTAAAAATGTCTCAATTTTAAGGGAACGGAAAACACAAAATATCGCCATATCTGGTGATCTATACCACTAATGAAACCAGTACCTAGTGTAAGTGATTATTATTCGAAGTTCTGGCAATAGATCCTCCGTACATTAATAAGGATATGTTTACATATCTGGCAGGTGTAGCTTCTCAGTTAAATGTAGTTTCCCCTTTTTGGTTTGACTATTGTATTTTTGGTTTTCAACATATCATCTAGTGTTGCAAAAGAAGGTATCGTTATTATCCAACACAATAGGTAGGTTTACGCTAAGTTACGAGCTTAGATATGGTACATTAAAGACGTCAGGCTCTGATATGAATAATATGGTCTTTGAATGAACAGGTAAAGACCACTGGAGGATAAAAAAAGAAACAAATAATTTGATTATGAACAGCACCAAGTTTGCTAGAAGTCAGAATCGTTACAGACACAATATTACAAGTAAATATCACAGTTGGTATGTCTGTGAAGTCGTTGTTGTTGTTTTCGTGGTATCTTGGCTTTATTATAACTTTATATGTCAACCAAGTTTGAAGATCCTCGTCTCACAGTTATAAAAAAATATGCCTTGAACAAAATAAAGTATGAGATTTCTGCATTAAAAAACTTAAAGAGGCGACTGACTCATCTATTTATAAAGATTCAGACCTGCTGGACACAAGATGTCGTCGTACGTTCACTGGTTTATTCTCAGGCGTACGTGCTGCTTGCGTTCAAGTTTGTACATCGACACTATGTGTAAGTTGCAGACGGGGACCAGGGGAGTATGACTCCGCTGTGACTATGTTGCTGATGGCACAGAGTCGCGTGGTCGTTAGGAGAGAAAAAACAACCCAGCGGGCACAGCTGAACGTATTGCGCAACCATCGTCACCTGCAAACCATAAAGATATACCAAACAACAGGTTTCGGACAGACAGAAAAAATGTGTGTTTCTGGAAGTTGGGGCATTCTCGTGAGGACTGCGACTTATAGTGATGCGGCATTCGACCAAATGTCAGCCTAGACGTGGTAGTGTGCATACTCCAAGTCGGTGTAAAACAAAAACCAAATAAATAATAGTACACAGAAATGGTTAAGGTGTCAAAATTTACTAAATCAAGCATACCGGGGAAGTTTCGAGTTACCTCACAAAATGGCAGAATAATATTTTTTCTCGGGTGCCAGCACTCAAAGGTTCAGCTCCAAAACTTAGTCTGAATTGCTTTTCCAGGAGCCCAAGTTCTTTGCGACAGGACCGGTGTACCAGAGGTTCCTAAAGGAGTCCATCA